AAATTAAATCCTTCATTTCTGTGGATTTTCAATTCTTCTTTACTTAAGAGTTGAACTTGTTCTTCACTATTTTTTAATGCATGAACTTGTTCAATGGTTCGTACTTTTAATTTTTCACTGAAAGTTCTGGGGATCCAACTAGTTTTGTAAATTTCTTTGTGTGGTACAGAAGGAATATTCCATCCTGTCCAATCTACATTTCTATTTTCACATTCATAGTTTTCTTCATTCACTATATTAGGCATAGTACTAGATGAAGATCTAGATGAACTAGCTGTGGAATTAGATCTGAATAACCTATTCATATATTCTCGATAGTATTTATACGAAATTATCATACAATGCTTTAAAATGATAAAAATTCATTGAGATCAATTGAAAATGACTATAATTAAACTTGTTTTTTTGGTAAAATGTTAATTAATTTTTTTTTATTTTATGCATTTTTGACCTTATTATGTTGACTCATTTTATTTTGTGTCAAAAATGATTTCAATAGATATAAATATATAAGTCTACTCAGCAAAAAAACAAAAAATTCAAGTTTATAAAGTTCCCATCCAAGCTATTTTAGTCTATTAATATAACAAAGGGTAAGTTTGGTATTTTGAAAGAATATTTAGTCAAATCATTCACTTTTTCGATTGTCAGAGACTGAAGTTACCGGTAGAGGGTGCCAATGATTCTACAGTACAAACTAGAAGGTGTGTAGTGAAATTTCAAAATTAGTAAGGAGTGTCATTTAATTTAGACCTAACTACAGGGGGTGTGGATGAAATTTACCCTAATATGTAATATATCTATGGACAAAGGTGCATTCAAACTGAGTTTTGCTGATAAAACATATTACTATAATTGGCTTCTGGTGGATGTTCTAGTATTTCTGTTGGAAGAACAAAGATGTATGCAGGGTAAAGACTATGGCAGTACATAATCTCATGTTTGGTGAACTAACTTTATCTCTCCACTAATTAATCTGTTGCATGATTGTCCAGCTATCTGAAAGCTGGACTTATCCTCCACTGAATGACACTGCAGAGGCAGCTAGCCAAGTGATTGAAGCACTTGCTGAGCGTGGATGGAGATTGCAGCCATAGTTGGCTATGCTTTTAGTTACCACGCTACCGCATCCGTCTTTGTGAAGGTTATATGATGCTTGGAATAGCTGCAATTAGCTAAACTTGGAAATTGTGCTTGGTATGATGCTTGGAATTTGATTCATTATATCATCGGAATGACTTGGGTTTGAGTTTGAGTTTGAGTTTGGTGCCCGACTTTGCTATTTTCTATATGTACTACATCACTAATTTTTATCACTGGGGCTCTGAAACTGCTTGAAAGGTGCAGAATAGTAGAGAGACTGAGAAGAACAAATAGAAGGTGTCATATTTTTCGGGCCTGCAAGTATGAGAAACATATGTCCTCAACTCAAAAAAGCATTTATTCCAACTATTTGGTGTCGGCTACCTGAATTATATTTTTTCATGTGTTCTATCAAGTATCATGTAAGAAATATATGTGCTTTCTATGTTATTCCCTTGCATATATAATTGTTTTTTTGTTTTGTTTTGATTTAGGTTGATCTACTTGAGGTTTTTTTTTTTTTGCAAGATCAGTCTTATGCTAAATTTTGTTTTTTTTTTCCCTTCATTTTTTCCTTATTAGATTGCAACAATAATGTCAAAAGACCTGCATCATAAGGTTGTTAAACAATCCGGGTGACTTGCAAGTAGTTCGGGCTCTGCTTGGTTTTAGCTCGGCTTAGGTTTGCTCATATTATAACGTGGGTCGAATCTTAACATATTTATAGGCTCGTTTAGTATTTGAGCCGGGTTGAACTAAGTCGAGCCCAATCTATTTTGTGAGCTGACTCGTCTTTCTTACTTGTACATAATATACATATAGATTATTATAAATATAAAGGTTATATAAGGAAAAAAAAACTAGCATGTCATGTTTTTGTCTATCCATCACAAGTTTGTTATGCTAGACTTGTCATCATCTCCCCTTGCCCACCTCAAGCCCACCGTCACGACTTTCCCTCATCCAAACCCCAAAAAAATCCTCATCTAGGATATAAGGAAAAAAAGTAGCACGTCATGTTTTTGTCTATCCATCACAAGTTTGTTATGCTAGACTTATCATCATCTCCCCTTGCCCACTACCAGCCCACCACCACGACTTTCGCTCATCCAATCCCTAGAAAAATCCTAATCCAGGATATAAGTAAAATAAGGAAAAAAAAATAGCACGTCATGTTTTTGTCTATCCAGCACAAGTTTGTTATGCTAGACTTATCATCATCACCACCAGCCCACCACTACGACTTTCCCTCATCCAAACCCTAGAAAAATCCTCATCTAGGATATATTGATCTTTGCTACTAGTTATCAGTGTATAGACAAACTTGTATATATTAAGTTTGTATGTTTTTGCTGTGATTTAGAGATATTTTATGCTCAAATTTGTGTTAAATTTTAGATTTGTGTGTATTTTTAAGAAATTTTTTGATTGGGTATTTAAAATTTGTGAATTTGAATTTTCTTTTGAATGACTCGTTTTTTACTCGAGCTCAGCTCGAATTTGGTTTGATTCGAACATGAACAATATTTTGAGTTCTATAGGCGAGCCCGAGCCGAGCTTGAGCAATCCTTAAATAACACTAAGCCGAATTTGAACATAGCTAAACTTGAAAGACTTGGCTCGATTAACACCCATATCTACTCATGTAAAAGATTATGCCGAAAGTAACTTGATTTTTTTTTTATTTATTTTTGAGTAGAAGACAACTACAACATTTCTACTTAAAAGCAGAAATGCCATAGCGCCTACTTGATCATAAGATGTTATTCAATGGTATTGAAAAAAAAAATTGGTATTGCACAAAAAATTGGTATTGCACAAAAAATTATTATTTTTAATGGTCAAAATATAATTTTTAAAGGTAAAGTTATAATTGCTTGAGGAAATGGTCATGAAATTCCTCAAAAGTTATTTTTTTATTTTATGAGCTACAATTTAATCTTTATAATTTTAATAAATAATCGATTACAACATTTTAGAATTGATTATTTCTTTTACAAATTATATATTACACATTAAAAAATTATAATTTAGCTTAAAAGAATAATTTTCAATACGATATTAATGGTGATACGATAATTTTTCCCACGGTTAATTAATTAATAAAGCTACATGCATTAAATACTTGATGTAAAAAATTGATAAAACATGGACAGTAAAGCAATTGTAACTTTACCATCAACACTAAGAGCGACTCCAAAAACCTCAATAAATCAGTTTTTCTTAGTTAATTTACATAGGCATACCTTAAATCTTGTCTCCAATAAACTATCCATCACATTAATTATTTCTCATAGCTTTCATTTGACTGATTATCCCTGGCGAGGCAAAGCAATTAGCTATTTTGTTTGTGTGCCAATAACACCCCCATCGCAAAAAGGCTTGCTCCATCGACTGAAGGCAAAGCTCCACCGACTGAGAGGGTTTTGATCTGAGAGGCTTTTGATATGAGGGTTTTGAGCTAAATATGATCTGAGAGGGTTTTGATCTAAGAGGCTTCATTGTTTCATCTTAGATATTTTATTGTCAAATTTGTGGGTTTGATCTGAGAGATTTCATCGTCAAATTTCTAGCAAAACCCCCCAAAAAATGCAGCAAAATTCCCTAAAAAAATAATAAAATCTCCCAAAAAATACAGCAAAACTCCTAAAAAATTCAATAAAATTCCTCTAAAAATTAAGTAAAACTCCCCAAAAATCTAGTAAAACCCAAAAAAAAATCCAGCAAAACCCCTCTGATATTTACTCTTGTAGCCCATAATTGATTAAATTTGTATAATGTATAGTTGAATTACTATTTTTTAAATTTTATTATTGAAAGTTAGTTAAAGTTAGTTGAAATGGTTAGCTAAAATAAATAGCGTTGTTAGATTGAATTTGAAAAAGTGTTTAGCTAAGTAGATAATACAATATTTAAATATATTTTGATTAACTATTTTAGATAGCATTGTTGGAGATGCTCTAAATTCTAATATTTAATGGAGCTCACAGACAATCCAAAGGTCATAGTGAATTAAATCAACAAATTAGATCAATAAATTAAATTTCAATAACATTGGTTAAAATTTAATGATTGTAAGTTTGTAATAGCTACTGGTAATTAATGAGTGATCATACCCTGATCCCATGTAAGAGTAGGTCGGATCATCTAACTACTTTTTCATAAAAAATTTATAATATAAAACACAACAGACTTTAATAAGTTCTTCTAACGATCTCGAATAAACTCATTCAATGGTCACAAAACATTTCTTTCAAAATTATTCACATTATACCGTATTTTTAGGCATGAGTTACCCTTGATTTATGATATTAAACATGACAAATTTTAATAAATTTGTCTAACAGTTTCAAATAAATTAATCCAACGGCCACCAACATCTGTCTCAAAATAATTCAAAAAAAATAAAAGTTAAAAAATGCTACAATCACCCCCATCTGACTTTTATCCTTTGAATTTTTTAAAAAAAAAAAAGGGTTTGGGTGCCTCTGAAATTAGTGCAAAATAAGGTGTCAAAGAACAAGTATAAATCTCCAGACAGAAAAAGACTAAACCTATAAAATGGACAAGAAAGAGATTGTCCATGCCGCCCTCCGTTCATCAATGCCACCCTTTTTAGGTCTTTGAACCTCCCATGAAAAAGATTCTTTTGATGTCCTATGTCATAATAATAACTTTTAAAAATATCTAAAAGTAACATCTCCATATTTCATTGAAGTTTTTTATCATTACTTTTGGTTCATATTATTTGAATTTATAAAAATTATGGAAATAATAAAATTAGTTGAGTTCGAGAGAATACTAGAGATAAATTTGAACACTTTATAACAAAAAAAGAGAGCATAAATTAAAGAAATAACACCAAAAAGTCTCTTTATACACTTGATAGCATTGAGTATACAATCTGCCTTCTTACATGTACAACAGTTGACTAATTATAGTATATTTTTTTCTCTAATCATGTCTTACTCTGTAAATCATTAAAATATATTCAACTAAATATCACACATCTAAAGTTGTCTAAGTTTACGGTACCACCTATATACACCGACCTCTTTAATTGCCGAATATAAAGAAACAAAACGTTGCAAAAACAGTTACTCCAAAAACCACACACAAGATGTCCATCGTGCCCTCTCTCCTCAACTTCTTTTCTTTTCTCTCTTTTTTCATTTTCAAAAACTTCCTTTGGCTCTTCCTCCCTTCTTCCTCCCGATTCTTTCCTTTACCTTTTTTGCCCTCCAATGCGCGTTGCAAAATGACCAAACTATCCTTCCCATTCAAATGTTTCCCATCCATGTCCTCCACCTCCAAGCTCACCTCGCTCACTTGCATCTCCCCTCCCTCGGACCCACTGCACGTGACCACGATCTCGCATTGCACGAATCCCGAGACGGACCCTTTTTGATTATTACTGGCTAAAATTGAAGCGAACCGCACCTGGACTTCACCACTCAACCAATGTCTCTGTACCGAAACGGGCTTGTTAGAAGATAAGTTCACTGCTCGCCGTCCGATTGGGTCGATTAAAATCCAGCTCAGCGTCATGTCGTCCATTAGAGCCGTACACGTGTCATCACCATTTGGGTGTTCTATTGGTGTCGAAACTACATCTTTGGGTTCCAACATGTCAATTCTGAAAGGTGAGCATCGGAACCACCCTGTCACGGTTTCAGTCTCGAGGACCTTCGTAAAAATGAGTTCGTTTTGGTAGTGAATATCAACGGCTGAGATTAATTCTGAAGGTGGGGCCGAATTCGAATTTGATGATGTGGAGGTTGGATGCATGATTGGGAGAGGGTATGAATGGGCGAAAAAAGAGCGTGGGCCTCCTTCTGGGTACGTGGAGATGACGTGGCGAACACGTGGTGTCACGGTGGAGGGCCAATTGCAGTGGCAGATGTGGAACCAAAGGTGGTCTTGGGTGGAGAGAGAGTGGAGTGTGGAGGAGACGCAGCTGAGGGAGGCGAGAGCGGGGCCGTTGAGGCGGGTGAGGATGTGGGCCTCGATGATATCTGGGTGCACGGTGGAGAACTCGGTGGTTGCGCCTCGGATGATGGAGGTTGTGGTGGGTGGTTCTGCTTTCGGGGAGGAGGACATTTTGGTAGCGTTTCTGTTTTCAGGTTTCACCAGTTGGTTGAGGGAGACTTGGTGCGTTGAGAGACCGTTGAGTGAGCTTGAGAGGCAAGTTTGAAAAGTAGCTAGTTGAAGTTTTTATAGGTGTATGGACTTGAATGTGTGAATGATTGGTTACTTAAATGCCCTTGGATTTTGTGGTTAATTACTTGTCAGAAGTTGACCAGCAGAGGATGGCTGCCAAGAAAACAGTAATAATGTCTTCACTTGACAAGGGGGGCTAATCTGGACAGATGAACCGGGTCAACCCGAAATATTTAGTACTTAAAATATAATTTTTATTCCTCAGTGATTTTGGAAGCAAAAAACTTTCATTTCACTTTTCAATTGAATTGTCTATCTTCATAATCAAACTCGATTTCAAAAACTAGACATAGATAAATATTCAAATTAAGATGATCGGATTTATTCTCGGTTCAAATTTAAACCGTCTCAATTCAATTAATAATAAAATTCTTAGTTAGAGAAAGATTATGTGACATGAACGTCCAACTACTAACTCGGTCAGCTAAGTCACACTTCTCGTCTGCAGCACCAGGGGCATTTTAGTAAAATAAAAAAAATTGATACTAGTTCACCAATTTCATCAAAGCTTTCAACGGTGGTCCACGGTCCCAGCTAAATGGAAGTGCAGCTACGCACTTCATAAGCTTTATAATTTTCAATTACCAAAACCGGGCCCACCTTTCCTTTAATCACCGTCTTTTTCAACTCAAACGTTATAGTTACGCTCTTAATATAAAAATATAATAATACTCCATGATTGAATATCATGTTTTTTGAATTTATTTTTGTTTGTTGCTGAATAATTAATTATTTTATAGTTCAATTTTCTTGTCACCGGGGTACTTTATTATTTATACTCATCCCGTTTTTAATTTGTATAATTAGCATTATATGGTATGCGTGTCGGGGATTTTAAATTGGCTCTTATTGAATGGAATATTCAATGTCGTACTAATTCTAGATGGTTGACTGTTGATTCGGTCCAAAAGATTTTTTTCTTTTTTTGATAATGGTATTTGTATGACTGTTTGGTAGGTATTCAACCAAAGAATGGGTGTAAAGAATTTAGCAGAAGGGGTGTTTTTTAAATTTTTGAATAAGTTTGGGGCAACAAACTTAAATAATTTAAATATATTCATAATTAATAATATTGTAATAAGAGACAGTTTTCAAGCTGGTAGCTATCACCTCCTTTGAACCATAGAGTTCTTGATCCTCATCCATAGGTTATCATTGCAAACTTTGAAGTGTAAAAAATTAAAAATTCACCCGAACTACACATCCATCTCATTTCACTCCTTATATTTTTATGGATCATACTTAATTTTCTTTGATTCGTGATCAAATTGTAGATTAAACTATAAATTTAACAGAATTTATTTATTATAATGACGTGGTAAATGCACGCGCTAATTAAGTGCATGTTATAAAATAAATATTTTTTTAAAATTAAAAAATTAAATTATCGATTTTACCTTTCACCTTCCTGTCTCTCGCCTAACTCACCCCTGCTACAACTACCACCCTCCTCCTTTTTCCTTCTTCCTCCTCCACAATCCATGAACTAGTAGTTCATCTTAATTTTGAACTCCATAAACCTCATCCTTCGAATCAATTTCAAACTCTTCAAATCTATGATCAAAGTAGGCCCAAAAAACGTTTTTAAAGAGTTGATCAGACTTGCAAATTCATTTCTAACCCAAGAAATGATTTACTTTCTTAAATTTAAGGTCATTTTTGAACTCTTGGACCCAAATTAGCTAAACTCAACCTCACTTTTGAATCTTTAACAAGTTTTGAAAGTTTTGATTTTTAAGTTTTCAAACCTTAGTGGTTTCTTCACCACACACACACACACACACCTCGGTTATGACTTCCGAGCACTTCATACGCTGTACTACAACCCTATAAAACAACTCCAACCTTAATTGAGGAAAAAAATGTCGTTTGCTATATAATTAATTTGAAAATCTATAACCAGTTTAAGTTTCAAACACAAATTCGAGCATAACTTGCAAAGAAATTTGTGGGGTATAATGGTAACGAAGTTGGAGGTGAGTTGTGGTGATGGGGTCCAACTATGGTGGTAGAAGTGTGGTAGTTTCAAGTTTTGTTTTTTTTTTAAAGATAAGAATTCCACAATGATAGTATCACAAAGAAAATTGAATTATAATTAGGGTAGGTTAGTCTTTTTGTATAAACTGTTACATTTATTAACATTTGTAGTTTGTTCATAAGTAAAAATAGGTTAAGTGCAACCTACAAAAATATAAGGGGTGAAGTAAGACTGAGACGTAGTTCAGGAGGTTTTTTTATTTTTTACCAATGTTTACAAGATTATCGTTGATTGATTTTCAATGTTTGATGTTATTCAATATTGTGGTTAACTTTGATTATTTTTTTAGATTGTGTTATAGTGACTTAAATGTCTTGCATTTGAGTTATGGATAATTGCCCTATTGAGTAATAGAATGGGATAATTGAATGGATAATTGCCCTATTGAGTAATAGAATGGGTTAATAGAAATATAGAATGGATAATTGCCCAAAAATACCTGACCAGTAAGTTCGTTTGTCTTTGGAGCTAAAAGTTTTGCTCATTTGTTCCTAAGATGGTGTTAGTGTTTGTTCTATTAAACCTCAAAGATTGCATTTTTTTTCACTTTTGTTCAATTAAGAGTAGTTTTTTTTTTTTGTAGAATAATTTTACATAAATCTGGCCTTCTTTAAACTTTGCAGTAAAGAGTAATTCGTGCATTGAACTATTCCCTTTTTTTTTTTTCCTTTTTTGTGGTACGAAAAATTACACTTTGACCCTTAGTCACATAATCTTTCAAAACAATCGACACTTCGGAGCTCTGTGTGCAAATACGCGATTTAAGAGCGAATTTTTTGTGAATTTGCGCTCTGACTTTACAAAATCCATGATTTTGCACTCTTACTTTCATATTTGCTTACTCATTATTACTTAAATTTTTATTTGGAAATTATTGACTCATTCATAAAAATACATATCAAATTAGAATGATATTTATAACCTATAATTGCTATTTTAATACCTTATAATCAATGTATATATTTAAAAATTAAATAATTTGTCACATAGTTATAAAAAATATTTAATTTTTATGGATGAATACTCTTTTGAATGCATATAATATGACGTTTTCAAGATGTTCGTGTTCTCGATCTCGCTTCCATCTCCGCTCCTATTTTATGTGATTTAGCTTTGACTTCCTCAATTATAACCCTTTTTTTACAATGGCCCACAACTATAATATTTCTCACATTATACGTTCAATTATGTTTTATACATGGCTCCAATGATTAATGCCTAATACAAGTTTAATAAATTTTTATTTTGTCCCCAAATTATGTGGTTTGTTTCACTTTACCCTCGACAGTTGACAACTATCATCTAAAAGATACTAGACATTTGGCTTTGATGCAATGTGTGAAATTAATTTAATTAGTCGAGGGGGAATTGTGAAAAATTCAACACTAGCACGGGTCCAGTGGTTAGTGAATGAATGAGAAAAATATTCAATGTAACAATAATATAATATATTTATTGTTTACTATTTTTTATTATTCTGTGTCTTCAAACACAAGTAATAACTAGTAATACAATATGGTATTATCAATTAAGTAGAATACAACGCACAAACAAAGTGGACTCTACTTAGTTCAATAATCACCATGTCCAATAATATCTAATACCAACCAAATTTGACTAAGCGGCCGAGTTCATTAGACATAGACATTGATTTCTAAATAATTTGTGATATTACGTAATAATGCTGATAGGTCAATTCCGTCCAATTATTTACTTTTACTAAGTTCTAGTTAGATGGAAAAAGTAGGTATCTGTGACAAGTTATAGATGTCCTAGTCATTGCTATAGCACGGCACATGAAAATTGCAACCTTAATGCTACGAAAGGTTGTGGATGAGAGATGGGAAACGTTTTTTTGGACCCATTCACCTATCTTATTCACTTATTTATTTATTATTTTTTTATTTTAAAAATGCAATTTGGACAATGACCTCTATTTGATGCAAGTTTTTATTATAGTATTTCGGGGAGTGTAAGTCTTATTTTTTATGAATATCTTAATTTTGTTGTAGATGATTTATTTTTGATCGATTCAGAAAAGAGATTAGACGAAGTGAGTATAAACTGGGCCGAACATTCTTGACAGTTGAAAAAAAAAAAAAAAAGTTTGAAGAGAAATAGTTTCTAATAAAGACGATAAAATTTTGGTGTATGCTAGAATTTGATAGAATTGATTTCAGCATATATGCAACGTAGGCATCATTTGATTAGTACAAGAAAACGATGGAAGTAACAATATATCTATTGACTTCGAACGAGATAGTCAATACGTACGGCCATGAATAGAGCACAATGGGCGGACACTAAATAATTTTAATTTTTTAAATTTTTTTTGAGTTGAGTTACATAATAACTTTGAAACTCAAGTTGATCATTCTAAATTAGACATTATTATGCATGTGTTGCTTCAAAATCTATTGTAATCAACAGAAATGCATTAATTGACAAACAATTATTAGGCGATTGCTTGTGGATAGGTTCTAATGCCTTATTTTATGACTTCATTAGATGAATTCTTAAAGCGATAAATACACAGAACAATGAATCAATAAAAGAAAATTCTTTTATTAATTCAATAAAATGGGTTTATGTTACAGAATAATTGATTTGGCAGACTTTGATTACAATACTAACTACTTCCTAAAAATTAATTCTAACATTACTTCTAAATGCCTTGATTGTAGGTCTTGTTGGGGGGGGGGGGGGGGAGGGGTGTTTGAGTTGTTTCTCTAACTCCTCCTTTTCTTCTCATTATAGTTATTTCTTTTGATAGTTTCTCTTTTTCGACGGTTAATTGGTTTTGTAACTCTGAGACAATTATTTCCTCTTCAAATCAGAGCTGTGGCTGGTCACTTCCAACCTTTTCTTCAAATTTTGACACGTGACAATATTTTAATGATTTAACTTGTCAATAACACATGCATCGAATGTTTTCATAATTTTGTATTTTATATCCAAACAATGTCCCTCATTTAATTGAATTTTAATCTTAATTAAACCTTCCTTAAACATATGTTTAAAATTTTTTTTCTATTTTGTGTCAAATCAATCAATTAAGAATCACAAAATAGACGGTGACTAAAAGAAATAAGATGGTAGATCACATTATAATATTTTTATTTATTTGAAAAACAATGTAGTTTAATAAATCGTGCTTTAGAGTTGAGAAACAAAACGAGATTAGCAATATAAGAGAACCTTTTCTCAAAGGGTGAAAACCTACTTTGGCGTTTTTAAGATGAAAATAATAGATGGGCCGCTAAAGAATGGATATGAGGTTCAAATCTTGTCACCGATCATTTCTTAACAACAATTAGAAAAAAATTAATACCTACCAAGATACTCAAGACTCTCTAGATAAATTATGTGAATATGGATTTAATGCAGCTTCAATAAGATGAAGTTTCACATAGACTCAAAATAGGATGTATTGAGGTGAATAAAGTTTCATATAGACAAATTTGACAGTCATTAGATTTAATTAGATGGATTTCGATGAGATCTAGACCGTATATCTAAACTCCAATCAAATTTTAGTTGTTCTTCTGTTTTTCTAAATTGGGAGGGGTGATTTTAATTTGAGAAGTTTGAAATTGCCTCTATCTTTTTAGAATAGATTTTAGCACAATTCCCATATGGAGATTTACAATCATTGTCTTGGACCATTTGTATACCTTTTTTTGTGTGTGTTTCTGCTCATAATACAAGTTGACGTAGCGGATAATGGGGGACATAGAGAGATCATAATCTCCAAGTATAAAGAACAAAAAAACTCTAAATCTACAGAACACTCTCAAAATTTTGCAATATTCAATTCATTATCTACATAGAATCGTAGCACACATGACAATTTATAGAAAAACCCAAAATCTTAACACTTAAAAAAGCTGTCACCACTTCATTGATTAGAAATTAGGTCAAGTCAGTCAATACTCTTATACCAATTGATGTGGTGGATAACAAGGGCCACAAAGAGATCATCGTCTCCAAGTGTAAAGAACAAAAACACTCTAAATCTACAAAGAAAAGGAAGAGCATATGTAGAATCATAGTACATATGACAATTTTTAGGAAAACCTAAAATTCTAAGATTTTCAAAACGGAAACAAATCCTTACTTTAAAAAAGTTACCTAAAATAATAAACCACATGTCTAATAAATTAGGAAAATAGACATGGTTTAGACAGTAAATAACTCTAGAATATTCCTAATTAACTCTCATTCTAAATAAAAAATAAAAATAAAACAATTAAAATAAAATAGAATAAAACATGAAGCGGTTCTACATCACAAGTTGTATATATGTTTTTCCAAACAATTTGTCAGGGAAAAGGGCAATGAGGTTCAAATGTGTGAACAACCATTTAAAGTTAGGGTTTTCCAAAGTACAATGTAGAATTCTATGTTGACATTTACAAAAGTGGCATGCACAAATAATATTCTTATAATTAATCAAACTTTTGACCAAGGAATTTCACTACAAATATCATATTCTTGGTTTGGAAAAATTTGTTAGTCTTACATGTTTGAGCTTGTCGATTATTTCATTCACACTTCGCAAAAAATAAAAAGAAAAACAATTAGAAGATCTACAACCCTCCAATGATATTTTGAGGACTACGAATATCCCATCCATGTTTTATTTTTGGGTTCGAATCCTCTAATCCCCTTCTCTTAGGGTATGAATTTTGTATACAAAAATTTTAAACAATTTCCTCATATCCCCATAAAATCAAAATATGAACCAAAGGGATGTGGGATTAGGATAAGTAGGGGCGAATCTAAGAATTTAATTTAGAGTGGATCCCAACTTAAATCGATTACAAAAAATTTGAGGCCAACTACTTACCAAATGAAAAAAAAAATCCACATTCAAATTGCAAATACGGAACAAAAAAGTCACAAATATACATTTAAAGTCAATCGTCGACAAGTAATTGAACTAGAAAGTTGGGCATCAAGCTCCAAGGATGACAAGTTGTTTGGTAGGAAGGAAATATGGGTGAATGAAAAATAAAGGGTAAAAAATAGGGAAGGAAAAATACAATTTCCTTAGTTTGGTTTGGAGGGAAATAAGAGTGGAAGGGAAAAGTGGACGAAAACTAAATTCATCTCGCTCATTAAATCTAATCCCTCCGAAAATGGGGAACAAAGCTGCACATGATGGGTGGAGTTCAAGAATTTACATTTATACCCTTCAAATTTATTAGTTAGATATGTTTTTCAAATATGTGAATCCATAGATGGGGCACACATGTTAAATAATAAATGTTGATAGATATACATTAATTACAACACAACTCACAACTCATGTTATAAAATACTCTAATACAAGGGTATTTATGGTATTTAAAAGGTAAAAAAAATTTATTTTTATTTTTTCAGCTCAAACCAAATAGGAAAATAAAAAAATAATCGATTCTACTTTTCCATCTTCCTACCAAACATAAAAAAAATAGGAAATACTTTCCTTTCCTTTATGAAAGAAAAAGTTATCCTTCCTATTTTTCCGTCCCTTCTCTTTTTCCATAGCGGACCTTGAGTTTGAAAACTCAATTATCTATAAAGAAAGCAAGAGCCCATCTCTAATAGTCCGTAACCACCATACTAGTCGAAGAGCCCACTTGCACATGGAGGCCCAAGAAGGAAAATTTTCCGCAGATTTTCTCTCTCATTCATGCCAGTGGAGTTTCACCAGCAGTGAGCTTCGTAATCTTCTTCTTCTTTTTTCTTTTCTGATGGGTTTTCGTTTCCATAGCTGGTTGCATTCCGCGTTTCCATGGAAGCTAGGGTTTTTCTGTCAATGATAACAGAATTACATATTGAAAATTTGCTTCTTTTGCGTTTTATTTTTTCAAATTCCGTTCTTTCTATTGTTGTTGATGGCATAAAACTATTTAGTTTTTGTTTTTCAAATTTATGATTGAATATTGAACTGGTAGATTCAGGTTGAAACCTTTCAGTTTGTGGGTCAATCACTCTATTCGCAGTATTGTTCAAATTTCCCAAGAAGGCACAAATCTTCTAATTTCATTTGTATTTGTGTCGGGCCGTATCATATTTTAACACCCCTGCACTTGATTATGTTGTTTGGTGAAGTGAGTGGAGGAACATTATTGCTAGAATTCACTTTTGCTGTTGAACATTGAGCTTATTTTTATTACTTCAGTCTTACTTGTGATGCGTATTACTATATTTTTGTACCTGTGGTGTTTGTGATGGATTATTCATCCATTATGGATTGGGGTATTTTTACAGATCCTTATCTATGCAGAACCTTTTTCATTGAAGAACTGTAGTTTGGTAAATGAGTTTGAAAAAAAAAAAATCTGATTCTGCTTGATGTGTAAATTATGGAAACACTTCAGAATTGTTATGAATTGGATAAACCAGAGCTGTATATATTTATCATCCTTGTTTTCCTTATAGTAGAAGAAATAAGGTAAAGACCAATTGGCTATCTTTGTTTACTAGTCTGTTTGATTCAAAGTTCAAACATAAATTGGTTAGCATTTAGGGTTCTTCTGAGGGATAGCAATTAAATAGAACAGAAAGGATGGGGATGTGGCCACATATGCATGGTATAGGAATGGCAATGCCCTGCCTTGTCTGAACCACGGCTGAGTTATATTGACTTCATGATCTAGTGTCTTTGTTTGGCTGGTTCAGGATAAAAAAGTAATTTATATGAATAGCTTTCACAATGGATGTTTATTTATTGATTAACCCAAAAATAAAAAAAGAACCTTTGCTTTCATGTAAATATTTCTTTAAGCATGAAGTATTTACACAATTAGAGAAACCCTTGATGTTCTGTTTCTCTTGGTGCTACCATACGCCTTGCAAGGTAGGGGTGCCAATGGAGTCTTGACGTGGTCATTATCGGGTGGTGTCACTTTGGGTTAGTCCTAGTAAAAAGTAAGAACCCTTTAACTATTGCAAAATTTATACAACATTGGATCAAAAAATGAAAAATAAATAAATACCCCATGTACAGGTAACTGCTGTGGGCATGTAGCAATGTGGTTGTAATGGAGAGAGATATGTACCAGCTCCAATGTGTATTTCCTGACCTGGAGTTTTCTTGTGTCAGTTCTTTCAAAAGCTCAACCAGCAGTACTGAGGTGGTGTTTGTTGCAGATACCCTATGGACCAGAAAGGTTATATCTCTTGAGGTAGCTGGAGGAGGTTGAGGAAATTGGAAACCAGTAGGGTGAACTCCAACCAAAATGCTGAGGAATAGTCTGTGTAAAAGCATTGCTGAAAACTCCAGCCCTTTGTTTCGGAGAAGAGTTTTTATTGCTAGGTACCCTCAATTTTTGTTCTGAATCCATTTGACAGTAGTTGGGCATAAAGAAGTTCATTCCATGTGTCTGGGACTCCAGGTAGGCACCAATGGCTGCAGTCTTGTGGGGCTGGGATTGGAGTGCCCACCTCTCGGTGGCTTGAAGGGTGACCATCTTTCCTAAATTCTGCAAGATATGTAATGTTTAAGAACTGAATCTTTCTTTTTGCACTTTCCATCTGTTTGATTACATCAGAAATAAACAGATTGTTGACTGGATCAGGTTCCAGTTTTGTGTTGTTCGTTTCTGGCGCCACATTAGCGTCACAGTGACCACCTTCATTCCATGTTCCGTCCCTGCCATTCCAGATGGAATAGGATGAGTTAGTACACTGCATCCACAAAGATTATCACATGACATAATTTCGAATATGATGCAACACTACTCGATTGATACCCCTACATCAATCTTGACAGCCCTTCTCAGGATCACATGCCTTTAATGCATTTCAAATAAGATAATAAACCTATTATAGCTGTTTAAATTCTGATCTTTCGAAAAACTTCATTATAATCTTCTGCAATTCTCAGAGCACCACTAATGTTTTTTTCTCTGCTCGCCATGGAGAGTTCTAGGGAAAGAGAAGCTACTACGGCAGCCATTAATTCAACTTTTTTTTTTTTTGGTAGACATAACCTGCCTGTAATGCACCGGTGAGTAGCTGCGGAAGAAGATATGACTTCTCTGTGGATCTAAACTCTGAATTACCCATGACTTCCAAGTCTGTAATGACCTCTGAAATGCTTCCATCACATCCATTGTCATGTTCACAGTTTCTCCCACCTGGAAAAAGCACCCCCTGAAAGACAACATAACGGTGAAGATTTGGATCAAATTTCATGACTTTCGTTCCAATGAGGGCGAATTATGACCAAAAGATGTCAGGTTATGGTTTAATGAGGTCCAACAATTTGAGATCGATCTTCAGAAATTGGGTTTGATTTCAAGTTTTTTTTGGATCGATTCTAATTCGACCCCCATTGAGTTGTAATTTGACCTCATTGCATATAGGATATAAAAATATGTACAGAGGAGGTAAGCTCATACATCTTTACAGTCTTATCCTGGTTCCACCAATGTCCAGCACTGAACATGAGCACATCTGCTTTAACCCATTTGTTTGAATACCAGTGCAGTGTGTCAACCCTGAGGGTGGTCCGAACTTCCTTGGATGCTTTTGGTGGCGGCCGACCGGTAACCACCAGGAAAGGCACCCTGTAGTATTCAACTGTGAGGTTGTACTCTGCGAATCGGATAGAGAGATAGCCTTTGTGTTTACTTATGGGGTTCCCATTGTCTTCATATATAGTGGACTGGGTTGAAACTCCTTGTGCAAGCATGCATATTAGAGACTCCCATTGGTTTCGCCCGATGGAGTCGCCGGCGAAAACTATCCTGCCGTTCCGGCTCCGTTCTAGAAAATCAGTTGCATTGAATCTGGGGACAACCAAAAATAGAGGGCAACAAACAATGAGGAGAAAGAGTTGGGTCGTATTATTTGAATACCTACCAGTTCCAAATCCAAACTTTGAGGATATAAACTTTCTACCATGAGATTTTTACCCTCTATTTTCTTGGAAGCAAAACAAGTGGAGCACATGGACTTGAAAAAATGTTCAATCTTGGCCTTTTTTTTAAAAAAGTCTTATAAGTTGAAATTTCAAAATAAGTTGAGCTCAAAACGAACCAAGCTCGAGTTAAACTAAACACGAGTCGAATTTTGCGAGTTTAAGTTTAAAATGAGTCGAGCTTATTGAGCTCATGTTCTAAACGAGCCCAAAAACTATTCAAGCTCAATTTATGTTTTAAACAACGAAAAACGAGTGGAGTTTAAAACGAACCAAATCCTAATAAAGCCAAAGTAGCTCAAATCATTTACCACCCTTAATTACATGGGGAAAGATGCAATGTAACATTTAAAGCTGGTTTTGGTGGAAATAAAATATGAGAATTATAAGTGAGTAAAGAAAGGGAAAAAAAAAAAGTAACAAAGAGGGAATTTAGATCCCCTCTATTATCTCTTTTCTTCAATTTTCTTTAATGCAGTGCTAGATGAATGACATGTGTAAGATTTTAAATTTTAATGAACAAAATTTTTTCTCATTCATTTTATTATTGGCGGAGTGTTAACTATTATTAAAGAATTTTTCCATAAGGAAAAAGTCTTGTCCATTGAAATTCAGAATTTTACACATGTCACTTATCTAACACTACATTGAGGAGAATTGAGGGGAAGAGATAATGGAGGGGATCCGAATCCACAAAGAGGAAGTATATGCCTCTTACGTTTATCTGACTCTTCTCCAATTGTAAAATAATTAAAGAATTCATTAATTCTTTTGCATGGTGAGAATTTATCCACGTCAACTAATAAAAGATGCGTTTTATTACCTTGAAACCTGCCAATTTTGATTAATCTTCTTATTTTTTTGTGAAATTACATGACGATTAGATTTTTTTTTTTTTGAAAAATTCATGACAATTAGATTGAAGAATTAAAATCCCTAAGAAAAAGTACTACTAATGTCCTTAAAACCAGTTTTCTAAAAGATACAATATTTTTAGTCCTGAAAATTTTTTAATTCAACAAAGTCCTCCTTTGCCAAAATTTTGCCGGACAACTACTGTATTTAAGGATAGTAAGTGATGTGAACAAACCATTCAAATAAGAAATCAAATCGACACAATTACAATTGTATCGGATGATCATGTTTTCTAAACACAACCATTTTGTCCTTGAAAATAGTTGTGTCTTTGTAGCTAGTATTGCCATTTTGAATCTAAAAACTCTTTATTTGGATATATCTATATAATAAAATAGTTATAAAAGTTTGTGCAAAGTTTTTTCGTGGTTTAGATCGCTTGACAATTATTGATCCGACAGTACTCATATGAAAATTTTCTTTCTAAGACTTCTATCTATCATCTAA